GAACCATAAACACTCAAAAAATCCTTTGCAGAATTTCAGGGTTCTTTGCATCATGAAAGGGTTCTTCAGATTGATGGAGAATATGCTGTAGATGGTTCTATATAGAACTTTTTGAAAAGGTGCTGGTTGATGGCTTTTCAAGGGTTCTTTTGTCCAGAAAATGGTTCTATATAAAACCATGAACACTCAAAGAATCCTTTGCATGATTATAGGGTTCTTCGTATCGTGAAAGGGTTCTTCAGATTGACGGAGAATGTGCTGTAAATGCTACTATATAGAACCTTTTTGAAAAGGGTTCTGTACTCTTAGAAATCATGGTTCTTAGTTAACCACTTAATTATGCAGAAATTTGAAACATTTGGTGGAGTTCCCCTTTAAGACTGCAGGTTTAAAGCTAAAACACCATTTATTTACAGTGCACTAATCATGTATGGACCCAGAAACGTGAGTAACAGGGTCTCTGGAGTGGAGCCGTCGTGTAAACGTTCACCATCAGGAGGCTCTGAGTTTGAACCCCAGCGCTGCCACAGCCACCCGTAAGTGTGAGTCGGACAGGAGGAAGCGCTGTTTACGTAGCTGAGATGCAGAACTAAAACACTTCTGACTTCACTGATTCAGGCTGGATGGACTCTGAAGTCCTCAAGCTCAGTTCACTCAGGAGAGGCTGTAAAATAAGGAGTTTTAACCTGAGCTGATCTTCATGTTTGACTGTGCACAGAGGAATCATGTGCTTATACTGCTGAAATGAACAGAAGAGCAGCGTCGTGAGGCGCCATAAATATATTTCTTAACGCAATCAGAACCAAATATTTCATCTTCGGACAGATAAAAATAAAGAGGATCTATAAAGAGAAATACTTTCGACAGACAAACTGTACATAATGAAGCACTCAGAACTGAGCAGAAACACGAAGGCATGCTGGTTACACAGGAGTCACAGAGAGGGCCGTCTACACCGGCGTCCCCCGCAGAGGAACCTACGGTAGCGTCTTAATGCCTCTCCGGTGTCGGACGACACGGTCACAGTATCATATACTGAGAATGGAGCTTAAAGGAACACTCAAAATATCATTTAAAGCAATCGCTCTCCATTAAAAACACACCTACCCAGCTCCCCCAGCCTGACCCCAAACACAGTCGGCCAGCCAGGATGAGTTCAGGGTCTGAATGTAGCACTGGAGCTACGAGGCTACGCTAACTGGCAGAGTACAATCTCTGTGGTGTTAGCTTGGCGCTTACTGGTGGGGTATATTCTTTGTGGTGTTAGCTTGGCGCTAACTGGTGGGGTATATTCTTTGTGGTGTTAGCTTGGTGCTAACTGGTGGGGTATATTCTTTGTGGTGTTAGCTTGGTGCTAACTGGTGGGGTATATTCTTTGTAGTGTTAGCTTGGCGCTAATTGGTAGGGTATATTCTTTGTGGTGTTAGCTTGGCGCTAACTGGTGGGGTATATTCTTTGTGGTGTTAGCTTGGCGCTAACTGGTGGGGTATATTCTTTGTGGTGTTAGCTTGGAGCTAACTGGTAGGGTAAATTCTTTGTGGTGTTAGCTTGGCGCTAACTGGTGGGGTATATTCTTTGTGGTGTTAGCTTGGTGCTAACTGGTAGGGTAAATTCTTTGTGGTGTTAGCTTGGTGCTAACTGGTAGGGTAAATTCTTTGTGGTGTTAGCTTGGCGCTAACTGGTGGGACATAAGCTTCCATTCCTTGTTAGCTACATTAGTCTTGTAGCTCCAGTGCTTCGAACGCGTCCTGGCTGATCGACCACATTTGTGATAATTCATTTTTTCATTTATTCGTTTAATAACTGAGATAGAACACTGTTCGAATGCTGTGAGGGATTAATGACGTGTAATTGACCGTTTGCAAAATAATGACCGCTGTGCGCTTCCGCAAATCACGATCGTCTATAAACGTTCCTTCCCCCGTCAGAACAGTTCCACAGTGAGAACGTCGGCGGCAGTCCGAGTTATCAGGGTGAGAAATGGTGAAAGGAGTCAGTGAGGAGTGTTTAACGCTGTCCTGGTCATCTGGAAGGTGGAGCTGCTTCTTTTCCATTCCTGAAGATGAAAACGTTTTAGGGTGTTTTCACACCTGAAATTCAGAACAGAGCTTCTAAATGTTCCTCTGCTCTGTTAGCACAGCTGCTAAAGATGCTACCAGGTAGCCTGAACTGAAAGTATGACAGCGATAGTAACTAAGGGAGGCGGGGCTTGTCAGAATTTTGCAAACGGTCAACTGCTCTGTGGTGAAAGTTCAACAGTCCGATTTCTCATCTCTCTCAGGAACGAGTGGGTGCTTCCTTTTCTAGAAAATGTCCGTATGTGCTAATTTCAGGTTCAGCAGAAACCGGATGTCGTGTGTAACAAATATTCATAAATAAAAATGCACAAAAATACATACGCAGCAAGTAGCACCATGTTGGCTAAATATGACGTACTCTAAGTTGCTGGAAGCTCGCGTTCGAAGAGAAAGTTCAGCCTGGTACGAAAAGTGATACGGCAATTTGTGCAAAATGTGAAATGATGTTTTGGTGTTTTACAGTAAACATTTACAAAGTGAAGCAGGTCGTTCACAGACGTGGAAGCTCAGTAATGGAGTAATGAGGGGATTGCTTGTGTGAGGCAACACTTTGAAGTCAAGCAAAAAAAAAAACCAATCCGAGTGAAGAGGCAGTCACAGGGTATTATCTGGCTGCAGCCGGAATGTCAGTTGTGCTTTTTTTCACCTTTGCGGTGGTCTTAGCGGGGGCGGGGGCTTTGGTTCGGTTCTTGCTGTGAGGGACAGTCTGCGTTTGAGAGGCTGCGGTAGTCCTGGGTCGCACGGACGGCGCCGGAGCGCTGCAAACGGCGAGTGGAGCTCTCCGAGGGTCCATTACCGCTGTCCGGAGAGCTGGACGCTGTGGGGAGGGGCTGGTGGTCCGGGCGGAGGTGAAAGTGCATTGGGCTGTGCTTAAACTGCGGCGGGACGTGGTGAAGATGCAGCGCAGAGGCATGCGTGGACTCCCCCCGGGCTGGGTGCAGTGGGACAACGTGGATTTGGATCTCACAGGAGGACCACCGATGACACCTGGTCTTGACTGCAGAGCTTTGGGCCTTAAAGTAAAAGAAAAGGAATGTTTACAAATGATCAAGTGTGGAACGCCAATAATCCAGGAGTGACCAACACTGATCCAGGAGCATTAGCACTGCATAACTTTCTGGGCCCGGTCCAAAATGCTAGAAAATTACATCAACAACTTAGTTTAAAATTCATACACAGTAAGATGTTATTTGGTGGTTTCACCTCTGCTAAAAACAATTTTGCAGAAATGCAGTCATTTTGTACATTAAATGTACTTAAAATAAAGATGTCTGATTGTTCAAACAAGCATATGTTACAGCTGTTGAAGATAGGGATCCACTGAGAATTGGCCCACCAAAAAATAGAAAAAAGGACAAACATTTGGCTGAAAAAAAAACAAAAGTCAAATATGTCTAAGTGTCGAAACCTACTGTTAAAAAAATTAATTCAAACTGAAAATGTACACATATTGAGTAAAATAGTCCCCAAAGAAAACTTATTATTTCAGATTTTCCACTATTTTCCATCATCAACATTCCATATAGACTCAGAAGACTCGTGTAGGTTCACTGGTGGTTCTGGATAGTAAATAAAATGTCTATATTTGTGTTGTAGTCATGGCGACCCCTGGTTCCTATCACCACCACTGTAAAGACATCTGAACCATTTCACACCAAACCACTCTGAATCACTCTGATTACACCTGAATTATGTAACTTTGAACAAATCGGAATTTCCCTTCAAAACAATTCCCCCTTATGAATCCTGAGATTCATAATCTCAGTCCTGAGAGAACCGTCAGTTTCCCAGCTTTGCAACTGAGTAGAGAATTTACCTCCTGCAGAGTTTGGCTCCAACATGCCTCACTAATATTTAGGAGGTTCTAAACGAATATGTGCTGGATTAGAGTTGGAACTAAACCAGGATTGGGGTCGGACACCCCAGCAAGGAGCACTGTCTTTGGGCAAGAGTGAGTTCATGGGTACATTTTCTAAAAGAAGTGAACAGCTGACCTTCAAATCAGTGTGCGGTCAGATCTCAGAGCTGGACTGGGATGAAAGTTGTTTAATTACATTTGTATGTCTGAATAAAGCACACCTGAACCAAGTGATCATGAACTGAACATCTGGTACAGCTGTGATTTGAGGTGTTGCACCCAAAACCAGAACCTCCTGAGGGTTCTTAAGGAACCACCTTTACAGAAGTTTCATGTCACCAGACGTTCAGAACATTCCAGTATCTGTACCTGTGCATAGGAGATGTGCACCTCGTAATCAGTAAAATATTATCAATATCAGCAACAACTTTTGTCGTCCACTCCTGAGATGATCTCACAATGCAGTTTTCAAATGTGCATTAGAAAATATAGTGGTACCCAAAAGAAATTACCCATTTGATCTTCAAACAATGGCAACCTTGAACTCCGGTTACCATCACAATAAACAACATTTAAGCTCAAACAATCTCAGTTAATGTAATTAAACACTACTGAGTTAATTAGAAGAAACTCACCCATTGCTAGCAGTATGTACTGTTTTCATTGTGCTGGTTCCTGGCAATGTTAAAGGAGAAGGAATAGTCGCTAAAAGTTTAACGGAAGGTCTCTTGATTGGGGTAACAGGTCGAGGGATCCTGCTGCGCCACACGTCACGCCCTTGCTCCCCCACTTCCTTCTTGACTTTATTGAGGGAATCATCTGATTTGTGAGTGTCCTCCTCTGATCCAGTGGTGGACAGAGTCTCTGAGGCTCTCCTAGGCTCGTCCCCAGAGGACATAGATGAAGAAGTCCGAGAGTTTAGCCTCATCCATCGACCCTGTCTCTGTCTCTCGACAACCAGTCTTGCCAGGTCCTGCTGCTTGGCCTTCTTCCACATCCGTTCCCGGGTGGAAAGTGACTGGTCCATGCCGGCATCCTCCTCCGACACCAAGATGGGAATGCGGCTCCTGCTCTTTGGCCGGGGAGATACGGAATGTTTGACAATTTTTGTTCCTATATCATCTTCTGATGTCCCTTGCTGGGACTCTTCTTTGGGCGGTTCTGGTAAAGCTTCCTGACTCCCCTTGCTGGATCTGTCTCTTTGGATGGGTTCCTGTTTCTCCAAAGAAACAGGAGGGACAAGTATGTCCTCTCTGGTGCCAATCTGGACAGGTACAGTCCCATCAAGCACAGTAAGTACTTGAGGTTCCTCAGTGGGAGTCTGAGAGGAGATTTCAGATTGAACGCCTCCTGGTCCTTCTGGTTCTGAAGGGGTGGTGACACTGTTCTTACCCTTCTGGGGTTCCCCTTCACGTGGTAAGTCTTCCACAAGAGCTGATATTTCAGGGATGCACTCCTGGACCTGTGGACCATTGGAAGACATGACATTGCGATGTGTGGTCTCAGCGATGTGGATGAAGGTGCGCTCCACTTTGGTGAAAGGAGGAGATGCAGCAGAAGCTGTTGTGACTGGTACCGGAACTGAGAGGTTACCCTTCTGCTTGACTAAAATGGGTACTCCATGATCAGCAGTCTTAGACTGGCTCACCGAGGGTTCTTGTACAGGTTGCCTGTCCTCCAAAGGTTGACAGTCCACCACAGCTTTCTCAACAGATTTCTCAGCCTGAGGAGCTTCTGTTGTAGCTGCTGCTTGGCACGTTTCAACCACTTCCCCAGAATTCGGGGACTTCCTCATATCTCCCGGAGAGAACAGAACAAGGGTTTTGGAAATATCCTCTTGATCAGGGTCAACTTCAGCCACTGAACCAGGTTCCTTGGGTCCCTTCTGAGGATCATCGGCCAGTAAGGTGGAGGGAGCTCCATCTTGGCTTCGCTCCGTGCTCTTCTCGCTCTCCCCACTGTCCGAATCGCTCTTGGTCACATCATCGTCCCTCGGGACCATCATCCTGAGTGTCTGGAGGCGTGGCGATGAAGGCACGGCGCTGATGCAGGCTCCCCGTCAGCATGACTGTGAGGAAGTCAGCCCGCTTGGCCTGCAGCTTGGGAAGGATGTGGAACATCTCCTTCTCGGAGAATGGAGCCTTGGTCCGGTAGTCAGTCGGAGAGAGCAGGGGTTCACTTGGGACTGAGGCCTACAAGAAAACAAACCTTAGTCATGAACCTTGGAGAGGAAACATCGAATATCCTATTCCAAATATCCTCTTAGGAGCCCGACTAACTAATATTCTGAGAAGCAGTTTTGCAGACGTCTGGTAAAAATGTAAAAATATTTACAATATTTCCTTTTTTTTAAACCATAATACACACCAGCACTGCCAGACAGTACAGCAGCCACGTATCAAAATGCTAACATTTGCATTGTATAATTAAGATTGCAATGACAGGGCATAACCAACAATCGTACAACTTCGGTATTCTAAGAAGATGACAAGAAAATTAGAATTAAATTAAAATCATTTGGAAAAAATGCCTTTAGGTCTGAAGGAACTGTAATATAAAGTAAATATAAAGAATGTAAAATCATAAGTCACTCTCCTTCTGTACTGTGATGGATAACGGTATCAGGGAGGGTCTCTGAGGTAGCTGACCACCTAAACTTGCCCATGCTGTCCACTACAGTTTAGCTGTTTCCTTCTGTAGCCTTCTTGTATCTTTTCTTACTTTACAAGCAAAAAACACTTTCTACAAATTCCATATCTATAAGACATTATGAACATATTAAACTGTATTAACAAGGCATTATATCAAATATTGATAAAAAGCATTACATGTTATGGCTGTGCTTTGTATGCTTTATGCATATAATAATATAACATAATATATATCATTGCTATTGGGACAAAGCCTTATATCCTTATTCTTGTTGTATTTTATGTTTATATTTTGAAATGACTAACTGCCCTTTATGTTGTGTCAAAATTTCATGATGAATGGACTAAACATGAATTTTCACGTACAATCATATTACGATAAAATCTGTGCGTACGAATGTTTTATAAATAGGGCTGTGATAAACTGATGGTGACTTTTCTGAACAGACCGAAGCAAATTGTGCTTCCACAATATACAGCTTATTAGAACATCAGTGAAAATCAGGTTTTAATGGAATTTTTTTTTTAGAAAACATAATTTTTTGAACATAAACACAAAGCAGTAATAATATCATATTAGAAAATGTAGAAATGACATCATCTGAAGCTGAAACGGCCCAAAATTACTTGGAAAGGTGTCTGGTTCCATAGACTTACATTAAAAGTAAAGTAGGTTTTTTCCTTCTCCTGTAAAGTTACCATTTTGGAGGTTTTATTCTGACAGCAGCGTTTTATATACGCACTATTAATCCATCGATCTATCTATGTATCTCTCTCTCTCTCTCTCATGTATATATATGTTTTGTTTTGTATGTTTTTATACACAGTAGATATGACTATAATAGTAGTGGGAAATGGTTCTACAGATGGATGGAGGATGTGCTGTAGACGGTTCTAAATAGAACTTTTTGAGTTCTATTTAGCACCAAAAAAGGTTGTTCTATTGATACAAGCTTCACATCGTAACATCCTTTTGGTGCTCTAAAGAACCATATATAACACATTCTCCAACAGTCTGAAGAACCATTTCACCATGCAGAGAACCCCTCAATCATACAAATGTTTTTCTGAGTGTTTCTGGTTCTATATAGAATCATTGTGTTGCTAAAGAACCCTTGCAGAACCATCTCTTTAAGAGTGTATCTATAGAATAATGTACGGTATTTTCTCTACACTTTTTTCTTCCACCATATCAGAGAAATGAGAAACACACGCTGCCGCTTTCCTCGAACACTTTAATGCAGTTTTGGTTGCAGACGAGCTTTTCCAGATTGTCCAGATTAAACAGACAGAAAAGGCACAAAAACACACTGCAGCCCCTCCAGCGTCCCAGCCTCGCTCACCGCCTCCGCCTCCTCAGGTGTTTCCCAGCGTGTCACTACACAGACCACTTTACATGCTTTATCTTCTACACCAGCTTTATTCGATATAGTTTATAGTTATAAAAGTTTAAAATACATGCTTGAGCTGTATACACTGTAATACTGTACAGCCACACGGCCATTATAAAAGAAACGGTCATCATACATACTCAAAAACACGGCAAGTCAGACTCCAGTTACTGTACATATTTATCACAATATTACAGGCTAGTGTGACTCACTCACCCCCGGTTATGATCAGTCTGGTATTGTTTACTGTAGATTCTCCTCTTTCTGGTCACAGAAGTTCAGAGAAACCTACAGTCCAGGACGGTTTATACACTTCATACAGTTTAGTGCTTCACTTTCATTGTGTAAGTTTTGTGGAAAGACAGTTTAGCTTTTAAGTTGAAAACAAATTTGATATCAGAAATTCCATTTGAAAAAAACAGAACAAAATAAAATTCTACATGTCAAAATCACATTAGCATGAACATTCATTTCATTCTGGTAAGAATTCAGCATTTTTCCCAATTCATTTGAATAAAGGCTATTTTTCTATTACTATGAATTTGTACCTGTGCTAACATTGAAAATTTAGAAGTAAAAACAGAATTTTGAAAACTTTTAATTCACAGTTAAGCTTTATCTGATGAAAAAAAATAGAACATAACATTTGGCCTTGGCAAAAATTGGCACATTTTGTTTTGTGTTGGATTTTTATTCCCAATATGTTAAAATCAGCAAATAAACAGAAATTTTATATAAGTAAATAAATACATAAATCGAATATTGGCAGAAAAGTCCATAATTGAGTCTGTTCTCTGAAGAAGACGCGTTTACCTTATTTTGAAGGGAAGAGAATCAACAAAAACGTGCAACTTGGCCGGCGGTGCCGAGTCCCTTTTTTTAAAATGTCATTTATTCCATTTTTTAATACTAATAATTCTTTGTAATAAATTTCTGATATTAATATTTGTGAACCGAGAGCTAAACCAGTTTTCCGTACAGTTGCTGCTGCTGTAACGTGTCATGTTACAGTGCTGAGGTTGGTTCTGTGTACAGTAGGGAACTGAGGGGACCCACACTAATCAAAGCTTTTAATCGTTTTAGTTACAGTAAATCATCTCCGTCGTTAAACTGCACGTCACCCCGAGTCCGGCTCTCGGCATGCAGCTCACAGCTATGTACAGTATTTACCATCATTAGAACGTGTAATACGGCAAAGGCATTGTGTGCACAGATACAGTCTCCACAGGACACTGCAGAACCACAACATTCTCCAAAGCTACTGACGACGATGACGGGGAGGTGAAGAACTTCGGCAGCGAGATCTGATTTACATTCCAGCTCTGAAGGAGCCGCTTCGCTGCTTTAACACCTCATCATCTAACAAACAAACCCTTCATGATCTGAATCCGTTCCAGTGCCTGGAGGAACCGGGTCCACCTACAGTCCCAGCGCCTCTTTATTCCTCCTCAGATCAGATCCGTTACAGAACAAACACAATCAGTGATGCATGTTATAGCGTAACACGGAACTGCTGAGGGGGATTTTCTGGATTCCCCCATAATTCAGTGTGTGAGATAAACAGAGTGATTCAGAGTGGTTGGGTGTGAAACGGTTCAGATGTCTTTACAGTGGTGGTGATAGGAACCAGGCGTCGCCATGACTACAACACAGATATAGACATTTTATTTACTATCCAGAACCACCAGTGAACCTACACGAGTCTTCTGAGTTTATATGAATGTTGATGATGGAAAATAGTGGAAAATCTGAAATAGTAAGTTTTCTTTGGGGACTATTTTGCCTCACAGCGCCCTGCATGTATCCCTCCACCATGAATGGAGTTTAAGTTCTCTAAACTATCATAAAACAGTGTCTCAGTCATCAGGCAGTGAATTCATAACCATTTCATGTAGGAACTTTCTGTGAGGAGCTCTTAGAGGTGGACGTCTGGTTCCTATCACCACCACTGTGAACAGTTCTGACTCAGTAAGTTTATCTAGAACAGAGCGTTTCACACCAAACCACTCTGAACCACTCTGTTTACATCTGAACCACTTCATTATGCAGGAATCAGATTAATTGTGCCAAGTTTGAACACATAAACGAGGTTTCTGTGTACTAAAACGTTTGTTCGAGGCCTTATGAGGCTTTGTTTACACATAAACAGAGAGCTGTTACCACACTCTGCAGTGTTGGGTAGTCTGCAGTAGTATTGCATGTTATGTCTCTTATTTATACACCAAAAAAAACAGCTTGGCTAATTGCACCCATTTCTATTCTAAGCTCAAACCGCTTAGAACCGTCTGAAGTCACATGTTCTTCACTGGTTCTCCATGCAACTGAAGGTAGATTAAATAAATGCATTCTTGTGCACACAGATATGAAAGGGTGAACAGAGTAACAGTGTTGTGCCTCAGTGTACAGTTTTTTACAAAAGCACTGCCGTATCCGCAGCAACGTCGCCGTGAATCCGAAATAAAAGCGCATGTGCAAAAGAAGTGCAAGAGTTAGCAGCGTGTTGGAGCGCGGTCACTACATTCATGTGGGAAAGCCACGGCGGCGCTGGCAGCACAAACAACCAGCAGAAGCACACAAACAGTCACGGTTCCTTCGCTGAGAGGTCAGCGGTACGGAGAGGAGAACAGCACATTACGGCTGTTGAACCTTTTCACATTCCTCTGGTTTCTTTAACATACACGGAATGGCCAAAAGTATGTGGACAACAATCCTGATTATTGAGTTCCGGTGTTTTAGACACACCCAGAATGGGTCGTACTGAAGAGCTCAGTGACTTCAAACATGGCTCTGTTACAGGATGACACCTGTGCCACAAGTCAGTTGGTGAAATCTCTGCCCTGCTAGATCTGCCCTGCTAGATCTGCCCCAGACAACTGTAAGTGCTATTATTGTGAAATGGAGTCATAACAGCTCAGCCACGAAGCGGCAGACCACGCAAACTCCTTTCCTCTGCTGCCTCACTCACTACAGAGCTCCAAACTGCCTCTGGAAGCAACATCAGCACAAGAACTGTGAGTCAGGATCTTCATGAAATGGGTCTCCATGGCTGAGCAGCTGCACACAAGCCTAAGATCACTATGCTCAATGCCAAGTGTCGCTGGAGTGGTGTAAAGTGCCACCACTGGACTCTGGATCAGTGGAACCGTGTTC